CACATAAGAATAAATAAATAAAACAAAGGTATTGTGTCCAATAAATAAATATAAAACAAAACACACACATGCACAAAAAGTCTACGCTTATTCATGAGGATGGCCATGCACTATGCAGTAGCTCATACCTGTCATCCCAGTGGCTCAGGAGGCTGAGGCAGGAGGATCGCAAGTTGGAGGCCAGCCTCAGCCACTTAGTGAGGTCCTAAGCAACTCCGTCAGACTGTGTCTCTAAATAAAATATAAAAAGGACTGAGGATGGGGCTCAGGGGTTAATTGAACCCCTGGTTCAATCCCTGGGACTCAAAAAATAAGAAAAAATAAAAGGATTATTTGGACACGGGTGTGTGTGTAGCAACACAAATCACAGTAGCCAAGGTAGAATCCACCCAGGAGTCCACTGGTTGAAAAGGAAATTGGTGTTCATACACACAATGGAATATTATTCAGCCTTGAAAAAGGAAATCCTGACACATCCTACCATGTGGGTGGGCCTCTGGGGACATTGTGCTGACTGAAATAAGCCGGGTGACAGACAGCCAACCATGATCCCACTTACAGGAAATATCTTGAGTAGTCCTTTCACAGGGAGAGAAAGTGGAATGGCATGAAGGGTTGAGAGAGGGACAACCGGACTTCTTTAATGGGTGCACAGTTTCAATTCTACAAGATAAAAAAGGTCCGAGTTTGTTGGCCCAACTTGAGCCTCTAATTAAACACTGTTGACCTGTGCACCTAAAAACGGCTAAGACGGGGTGCGGGCTGCGGATGTAGCCTAGCAGGCCTGAGGCCCTGGGTTCCAAACCAAACGTTAAAAATGGTTAAGAGGTTTCAGCACCTTGGGAGGCTGAGGCAGGAGGATTGAAAGTGGAGGCCAGCCTCAGAAACTTAGCCAGGCCCTAAGTGAGACCCTGTCTCTAAATAAACTCTAAAAAGGGCTGGGGATGGGGGTCAGGGGTTCAGCACCCCTGGGTTCAATTCCTAATATCAATAAAAAGGAGGAGAAGGAGGAAGAGGAGGAGGTCCTGGGTCTCCCAACCATCTGCTGCTGCTCTGGGTCCCTGGAAGTTCCACTGTGAGTCCCACCTTCCGGAGTCACGGAGGGTCAAAGCAAGTCCCCGGATGGGAAAGGGTCTGCAAAATGGGGGTCCGCTGTCCCCTTGGTCGTCATTCTGAGAAAGGGAAGGTATGGTGTGTAAGCCCAGGGGACAGAGAGGTCCCTCCCCCTTAGTCCTCAGGGGGGATTTTGGGCAGAATCTTGGAAACTCGGGGCCCTTGACCCCTGAGCCCCGTCCCCAGTCCTTTCTCTATTTTATTTAGAGACAGGGTCTCGCTGAATGGCTCAGGGCCTTGCTAAGTGGCTGAGGCTGGCCTCCAACTTTCAATCCTCCTGCCTCAGCCTCCCAAGCTGGGAGGACAGGTGTGTGCCCCTGTGCCCGACCCTATTTTATTGATTGCCTGTGGCCCTGGTGATCTTCAGGAGAGAGTCAAGTTGGAGGAAATGACTGAGGGAGAAAGCTTTTACTCTTTTTAGACAAAGAACAATTGTGAAGGCAAGACAGGGCAGTTCTAGAAATGTTATGAGAATGATGTGGAGGACGCTGCAGCCGCCAAGGAAAGATAAGGTCACTTCAAAGGACTGTGTATTCAGGCCAGCCGCTGCCCCCACTGCCAGTCTCTGAGGCTCAAGGCTATTTTCCTGGCCTTGGTATATAGAGGACATCA